GCTAAGTCTGAAGCTAGATGCTTAGCCTCTCATGAACTCTGTTACCAACCATCTCCCATTTCAGTACAGTCTCCTGTGAACCTGGTCCCCTGCCTGAACCAGTTCCCGTTTCATTATTCACGTTTGTGTTTCAATAAACTCTTTTGGACTTTTTACCCAGTTTCCCTGCGTGTGTTCTGCATCTTGGGCTTAACTATTTAACCCATCATGACAACATTAAAAATAAACTTTGTGGATTTAAACTTGTTGTCTATGTCTGATGGATGTAAATAAGCTCCCTATGAAACCATCGGTCCCATAAAAGAAATGCTCTAATGAAAAATGTTAAATAAAGTTTTGTTGGTTTTGTTGCTACTGTAGTTTGCCAGAAACTCTAGGTATGTGTTACTGCCACCTACTGAGCGTTGGACAAAATGTAAACTAATGTATTTTTTGATATTGTATGTAAAGGTGATATAACATACTGATCTATTTTCCCAAGCCAGATGTTTTTTTTGTTTTTTTTCTGTTTTTTTTCAGTAACTCTTATTGCACAGATTAATTCAATATTCAGAGAAAGTTAATCAGACATACTGTGGTGGTGCAATGTGCACACAATCCAGCTTGACAATGTGTCATGGAATAAACAAATAACTTACTGCAGTAAGGCCATAAATAGAGGTGACAATCATCACCCTCTGTGACTTAGAGGGTGTAATACCCCTGGCAATCACATATGATACCAGGCGAGAACAGTTAGGTATCATCTTCTCTTGCAACCCATTAACTGAACGCTGAGATTAGTAGAAATCTCAAAGATGAATGGATATCTCTTATGCCTCATTGTCACTGGCATCTGTCCCAACCTGCTTAAAGTCCACCACTATTTCCCCCAGGTGTTCCTGAATGACTACCCACCTATAGCCTGACATCAGTACTCCTGAAATTTCAGAATGTTTTTGCAGTGCTAGGACTACGGAGCCCCTCTGATGACATGGTCAAAAAAAATGTTTGTGGCCACGAAGTAGTATTTC